AAGAGAGGTAGGCAGAAATACGCACGCACGCGTGAAAAATCAGCGCATGAATCTCCAAACACCGCTAGTTTTATGCATATAATAAACGAGAGGACACGTAAATTATAGCGACGAGGTACAGGAGAATGGTCAGGTTTCCTCGAACGCCCAGCGGCTAGGTTGTCTCGTGAATCCGCCTGATGGCGCTTCCTGTCAACACAACCCCGGAATTTAATTGGGCAGTTTTCAAATTATTTGCCCCTTATCCTAAAATGATCAATACACGCGCACGCCACCGGTTATTTCAAACATTAGATACGATATAACCAAAAGCATATAAACTAAGTGTTTACATGCTGTTGTTACATGCTTTACATGTTGTTACATTACCTACATAATCCAGCACTGCAGTTTTACGTTATCACAATAAGAGCAAATGAACTAACTATTCAGCGATAACCGCATCTATTCAAAGATACGCGGAGATTCCCATGGGTCATACAATAACTGGTTACCAAAAGGCCGAGACAGCAATTTCGATGCATACCAGTAGTAGGTCGACGCTTAGCACAAAAAAATACCTGGGGGCAGCATTCCATGCTGGGTGATGAGAATTGAGGTGTTTATTCGAGAAATAACCCCCATCTAGAGTGAGATTTCACTGTACGGATCATCTTCTCATTACAATTATTATATTTACCAATTGCAGCTTCTTCGTTGAACTACTATATTTAGATTTATTTAGCACATTTTTTACATTTCTCCAAAATCTATGTGGGCGTAACTGTCGCTCACCCCGCCCACCCTCAGGCTACGACCCTGAACAGAGTGGTAGCTAGAGGCCTATTATGGGATACATCACGCAGTAACTATTTATATAGCTCCGTAAAGGGGACTCGGCCAGCCACGTGAAATCTGCTTTTACAACTGGGTCAGTTTAGTTCTCCTCACTAGACTAGCGCACTCTGCGAAATTCCAACCTGCCAATGACAAGCGCGTTAGCCCCACCCAACCACACATCGACGTTAGCAACTGATGGTCAGCAGATGTTATCGCGTATGCGGAGGAGCAGCAGCGACACATAACACCGCGAAGTTGTATAAGTAACCTCCCAGACACGATCGTACTATCCAATACGATCGTGTCACACGACCACAACTCGACCTAAAACCACTCGCGGCCATCTTCCACTCAGCAGATGCCATCGCGTGTGCGGAGGAGCAGCAGCGACACATAACACCGCGAAGTTGTATAAGTAACCTCCCAGACACGATCGTATCACACGACCACAACTCGACCTAAAACCACTGGCGGCCATCTTCCACTCAGCAGATGCCATCGCGTGTGCGGAGGAGCAGCAGTGATACATAACACCGCGATTGAAGAACACCAGCAATCTCCCAGACAAGATCGTGTTGATTCCACACATATACACGCGGCCATACGACGACGTAAGCAATTAGTGGTGGCTGTCCCTTGCTCAGTAGAAGGTTCGAATAAGAATCCGCTACTATAACACAATTAAAAGTCTTGGCCGTGCGCCATTTTACGCTGGCAACACTCACCAACAGGTATATTTGTGGTTTCGATGTCGTCTTTGTGCACGCCAGGTGTGGGTGTGGCTGACATCGTCATGTTTTTGCCAATGAGTATTTCAAACGCGTCTGCGTGACTTCATTAGGCGATATAACGAGCAGCATAAACATAGACTTTAATACTCAAATGACATTCGGCATTGCATTTACCTGTCTGTCTATATTGAACCGGCACAAAGTGTCTTCCCTGTCACACCAGGCGTTTCTCCCACTTCGTAGTCATGTGATCTCCCGCATTGGCTGCGTCAATACCGCTGCGGCCACACTGCGAGCGAGGGCTGATCGGCGAAGAAGATGACCCAGGTACGAGGCGTCCACGCCAACAGTCCGTGTCTGCACCCACATACGTTCACTACTGTCTCTGTCACAATCCGCCCTTTGATCGAACACGACCACGTAGTAAGAGACAGTGTAATCGACCCAGGGTACCGACCGCACGCACGATGACGGCGACCTTGCCATGCGAAGGCCTGGAAGGAGGTTCCCGGCCCGGTTCGGCGCATCCGTCGGCGCCGCCCCACCACGGTGAGCGCCCGATGCAGGTGAGGCAGGATAGCAGCGCAGTGATGATGAGAGGCACCAGCGTTCCAGCGAACGTGTTCAGGATGTCAGACAGGAGGCCGGAACATGCGAGTACGGGCACTCGTGACATGCACCCCGCGGCGTCGCGCCTCGAGGTGTAGCAGTACCGACGATGTAAGATGTTGATGAGGAAAGGACAGGATGCAAATACACCGCTCAAATAGCAGTAGATGCGCACGAGACGAAGACCTCGCATTGGTCGACGCGCGGCCACCACGCGCGACGCCATCATCAGTACAGGCGTCCCGAGATGGCGACACGAGAGGCGACCACGAAATTGTGCGACGCAGAAGTGTACCGACATGTTTTCGGTATGCTGGTACTTTCCCGCGATGATCATCGCTGTGTAGAAAGCGTGTTCGAACGTCAGCACGGTGCATAGGAACAACACCATCGTGCCGGCGTTCGTCGCCATCCGTCGGCAGAAGTTTGCGCCTGCATGGCGACGGCGGTTCCGTTGAGGATCGACCGGACAGGAGAAGCCGACGGCGCCATCGCGCGTTGTCGCGAATTTGTCTTGGGTGTTCCCCAGATAGGTCCTCGCGATCGTGCTGTCAACGCCCCACGACGATGTCGAGTTCATATACATTATGTAGTCGGCGTCCATTTTGATCTTAATAGCGATTCTTATTCGAACCTTCTGCTGAGCAAGGGACAGCCCCCCACTTGCTTGACGTCGTCGTATGGCGCGTGTATATATGTGTGGATCAACACGATCTTGTCTGGGAGATTTGGCTGGTGTTCTTCAATCGCGGTGTATGTATCACTGCTGCTCCTCCGCACACGCGATGGCATCTGCGAGTGGAGATGGCCGGGAAGTGTTTTAGGTCGAGTTTGTGTCGTGTGCACATCGTATTGGATGTACGATCGAGTCTGGGAGGTAACTTTATACAACTTCGCGGTGTTATGTGTCGCTGCTGCCCCCCGCACACGCGATGACATCTGCTGACCACCAGTTGCTAACGTCGATGTGTGGTTGGGTGGGGCTAACGCGCTGTATATTGTAACGCGCTGTAACGCGCGCAGGTTGAATTTCGCAGAGTGCGCTATTCTAGTGAGGAGAATTCACCCAGTTGTAAAAGCAGATTTCACGTGGCTGGCCCGAGTCCCCTTTACGGAGCTATAAATAGTTACTGCGTGATGTATCCCCATAATAGGTCTCACCCACTCTGTTCAGGGTCGTAGCCTGAGGGTGGACGGGGGTGAGCGACAGTTACGCCTACATAGATTTTGGAGAAAATGTAAAAAATGTGCAAAATAAATCTAATATAGTAGTTCAACGAAAAGGTGCAATTGGTAAATATAATAATTGTAATGAGATAGAGATCCGTACGGCTAGTCAAATCTCACTCTAGATGGGGGTTATTTCTCGAATAAACACCTCAATTCTCATCACCCAGCATGGAATGCTGCCCCCAGGTATTTTTTTGTGCTAAGCGTCGACCTACTATACATCGAAATTGCTGTCCCGGTCTCTTGGTAACCATGCAGTTATAGGGTGACCCATGGGAATCTCTTCATATCTCTGAATAGAGCGGTTATCTCCTGACTATAGTATATAGTTCAATTTGCTCTATATGATAAAAACATCTCTGTGGTTATGTAATGGAAAGGTGTAACGCAATGTAAACGTAAACACGAGCTATTAAACATTACTAGTTTATATGCTCTTGGTTGTTTCGTATCTAATGTTTGAAATGACCAGTGGCGTATTATATGGACCATTTCATGGTAAGGAGCAAATAATCTGAAAACTGGCCAATTAAATTCCGGGGTTGTGTTGGCATGAAGCGCCATCAGGCGGATTGATGAGACAACTTAGCCGCTGGGCGTTCGGGGGAAACGCCTGCCATTCTCCTATATCTGCTGCTATAATTTACGTGTCTATCGTCTATGTATCAATGAAGAGTAATAATAGAAGATCTCCTATTATGTACCTTGATTATATATGTATAAAAATAGCGGTGTTTGGGAATTTATGCGTTGATGTGTGTGTGTGTGTGTGTGTGTGTGTGTGTGTGTGTGTGTGTGTGTGTGTGTGTGTGTGTGTGTGTGATGTGTGTGTATGTGTGTGAGAAGTGAGGTGAGCCTGCAGTGCGTTGTGTGGCATTGCGGTGTTTTCCGTCTGCCTCTCTTAGAGTACTCTCCTTTCTCTTTTCTATATTATATCCAAGCCCTCATATTTACCTGTCTCCTCTCTGCCAAATAACGTGTCACATTTGCTCACTTAATTTGCATTCAACATCAAATAAATTATCAAGCTCGGAATTTACCGACCCAACAGAAAGAGTAGGTATCTCGATAAGCTTTTTTTTAAAATTCAATCTTAATTCTATCATATGCGCAAAAGGGATGACCAAGCTTGCTGCTTCACTACACTGTAGCAGTCTTCTATACTGTGTTTGTCACTTTGTGGCGCGTTTCAGTACTGTAATGTACTTTATGTACTGTCGCTATGTACCTGTATCGCTGTACTACTGTAGTACTGTACCTGTACTCGTCTGACTGTTACACTGTACGTACTGTACGCTGTACTGTACTGTAACTGTACTGTACTGTACTGTACTGTACTGGTACTGTACTGGTCGTATGTCTTAGTAAATAGACTTACTATCTCTGTATCTCTTAGGCTAGTATCCTTATATATCTTTTATGCTTTCGTTGCATTATGTTGTATTGCTGCAACGCTTTACTTATCAATAGGCTGTCACACCCGGCTACGCGTCGGGCTCTAGTGAGTGATGCTGTGTCACAGTACAGTAGTGTTATGTGTAAGTGTGTTAGTCATGGAGAGGTTTAGTTGTTGCCCAATGTTGCTTTTCTCTGTTGAAATGCTCACTACGA